AAACTCATTTTTCCACAACTCTAGCCGTGTTATTGGCATTTGACGTTTATTAGTATTTGGTCGCATTCACAAAACAAACTTTGGGCCATTTTACACAGGCGCGATTCAGTTTCAGATTATCACTAGAGGCGTTGCGCGCTGATGTAATTTAAAAATGGCGAGTATAGGTTTAAATAATTCTCGAAACAACTGTGAATTTTTATCCCAACATTGTGTTTGATCGCAAATCCGCTGACCAGCAAAATGGAAAATAATATCAAGGAATGTCCAAAACAGATTTGAGCCTCTAAAAATGTTAAATGACACCCCTTCTTCCCCCATCAAATGCGCTACATCATTAAACATTTAGAATGCCTTGCAACGGTACCCAATTCTAAAGTAGCATTCACAACCTCAAAATTAATACCTACAATTAACAATCGAAAATTAACGTAAATGTTTAAAGCTATGTATTTTAAGGGTAACATTCACAATATAGAAAATTAATCGTCGAAATTAATACTTAACGCAGAAGTTTGCAAACTGCAAACTTTGTCGCTTAATTTTACGGAAATGAACAGAGGTACGCATGCGTGCTTTTATATGACAGCCGACATAACCCTGTTTTGTTTGTTTTGATTTTGTTTACATATGCAATGAATGTGGCGAACAGAAAAAAGTATCTTGCCACTTTAGGATTAGGCTACTTATAGTTAAAAGACACTTATTGACACAAATATTGACTCTTGTGCTTGCGCTACAAGGTTATGTTGAAAGTTGTTTTATAAACAATTAACCAATTGCCTCGCCGGTACATAGGTGGCGACACTGCTTACACACTAATTTCGCATATTAATTTCAGGCATTGCGAATGATTGCTTTGCATAAAGTTAACGAAATAATTTCACTCATTAATTATAAACATTAATTGGAGGTTGTGAATGCAGCTTGCGTTACGGTAAGACATACTTAAAAAAATACAGTCATGTGAATTCTAAAATAAATGACTTCTTTGAAGCGGCGTCTTTTGTATGATTGGAGTTGAAATGCCTTTAACCCACTACATAATTATTTTCGCTTTTTTTTATCTTTTCTTAAAAAAATCCCAAATGTAGGTAGGTAGGTACGTCGACAATACCTTTCACTGCCCCTAACACTTTCGCACCTTTGAAATACGTATACTACCTATCTAGATATCGTTAACAAATGGTTCTAGTACAAATTATTTCATCTTAAGAATGTTCCTTGTCACTCTTTACGAAAATTTCGCAATATTCTGTAGGCGCACTGTGGTTCATTTGCTGAAAGTTTTTACTTGGTTTGGTCCTTGGGTTTGGTCAGGATGCACGAATGTGAATTCTGTCACCAGACTCGTCCGAAAAAGTTGGGTTGGCCGTGCACAATGAAAAGTCTGAGAAAATCAGTGCTATGTTACACGCGGTTGTAGTTGGTCTGAAACTGGTGGCTCAGTTCAAAAAACAGTTAAAGGTCGAACATGATTTTTCTTATTAGGTATTAGACTTTGATTCTCTCAAGCAGCATTTGTTTACAACATGTTAATGTATTACGTGCAGAAGGCGGGTCTCGTATACGTTGTGAAGTTCCAAAGGTTGATATTTCTCTTATCAAGGAACCACTCATCCCATTCGAGACAAACATTAAAAAAATTCAACACTTTTCCCAAATGAATATGCTAAAAGTGTGTCTAATCGACGTTCCAACCACTCACCGCGTGCATTGTTGTTTCCATTTCGGTACCGCCGTCCGCGTTTTTCCAGATAAAAATTAAACAAATAAAGACTACCTCAATAGAATGAATAGGCAGCTTATTTTGATCCAGACGAATGGGGAGGGGAATAAGATACCGTTAATACGGGGCAGAGTACAAATTACGCGATTATAAAAGACTACGCTTTAGTAAGTTTGTAACTATTTTAACTCTAAAGGCGTCGATTTTCGCTATATCGGTGTGTGAATTCGCGATCTACTTGTAAACTGTGCTTGTTAAGGGCAACATGCCTGCTTGTGCAACTGAAAGTCTTACACGAATGTGGCCAAGTAGTGAAAGTGTACACTCAGGGGGTGGCAGCAGCAGCAGTTCTGGTTTTCACAGCCCGAGCTCGCCGTACTCTTTTTCGCCCATCTCTTCATCGTTGGAGAGCCAATTTTCGGGAAAAAGGACCGTGTCCAATGGAAACGTTCATCAGCCGTTCATAATACGATCGGATAAGAGAGACTCGAGGTGCCAAAGTCCCGTCGAAAGTATCCATGAAGAGGAACCGCCGTCACTTGTCGCAAGAGTGATTGGTTGGTATCCGTGTTTTTTATTTCGCGTCGCCCAAGGGATCGTATTTGGCATATTTCCGATGGCCTGGCGACAAATACTGTTCGCAATACCCTTGTGGGCTTTCAATCTTTGGCTGTGGTTTATTTGGGAATGCATTCAGCTTCCATTAACGATATTTAAGGTGTCTATGACGATACTAATAACCCCTCTATCAGAGAGGACTCGCAAGAAAAGGACTGTACTAATTAGTGGAGGTAGTACCATACAAGCTTTGCATTTAGCCAGAAATTTCTATTCGGCCGGTGCTAGAGTTGTAGTGTGCGAAGTTGAAGGACTCTTCGCGTTGGCTCGCTTTTCAACTGCTGTCAATAAGTTTTATACTATTGCGAAGCCTAGAAGCGACTATCAGCAAAATTACGTGAGAGCCCTTTGCGAAATCGTCGAAAAGGAGAAGGTCGCCTATTATATTCCGGTCAGTTCGACTACTTCTGGGTATTATGATGCTGTTGCTAAGCCTCATTTGGAGTTGCTGGGTTGTACTTGCTTTTGCCCTGGCATTAAGGAAGTCTGGGCGTTGGATGATACATTGGAAGTGTTCAAAAAATGCGAGAAATTGGGAATGCAAACTCCAGTTTATCACGTTGCCACTTCTAAACATGACGTGTTGAGGTTGTACGAGTCGGGGGAAATTCGGACGGGAAGATACGTGATGACCACAGCCGGTCCCAACGGATTGAGAGATCGCACGAAAATGGTTTTACCCCCTACCAGAACCGATTTGAAACTTCCTGTTGACATCAGCGATCATCGTCCGTGGTTAATCGTGCAAGATGTCGACGGAGATCATTACTTAACCTGCACCACGATCAAAGACTCCAAGGTGATTGCCAACGTTACGTGTCTTCTCGATCAAGACAGTAAAGGTTTGGTACCGGTGGAGAATAAAGACATCAATTTGTGGTTAAACAATTTCTTTAGCAAACTGAATCTTTTGAGGCCGGTTACGGGACATATCAGTTTCCGTTTTGTTGTTCGTAAGAATGCGATTATGCCGCTCAGTAGTAGAGTCGGAATTTCCTTACCGTACATCTGCTACACAAGTGTACATCCGAGACTCCTCTGGAAACCTTGTAAACATTTTAATCGTCAAAACTCTGGACCACTCGTGGTGGAAAATGGCCGCTATTGGATGCCGGAAACTGTCGCGAACACCATAAAAAATCCGAGTGTCGAAAAAGTGACAAGATTAATTGGTACAGTGTTGGACAAGCGAGAGGTTTTATTCACGGTGTGGGACCCTTTGCCATACTGCGCTTATTACCATATGCAGCTTCCATTCAAAAACATATTAGGATTTGTGCAGAGGCAACAGGATAAGTTTCCTCAGCCTGTAGCGGCCCCCGTACATTAAGGTTCATCTCACGAGGAGAGAGAAACATAGCCTGAAAGTCCATTCACTCATTTTTCATCGTAGCTTAATAATGTAAGAAATTATTTATATTTTGTGTGAGTCAATGATCGATTCTGTTTTTATGTATTTTTCAACATTTATTATCTGAAAGGTATCTTTGTACAAATAGCTTTTAAGTATAGATACCAAAAATGTTTTTTATTTATGTTGCTTAGATTAGATAATCATATATACAACACTATTTTTGCTATAAGAAAAATAGTTTTTTTCTTAATACCCTTTAAAACCATTGTATCAATGAGAGAAAATAAATATTATTTTTCTGCATTAGTTGATTTTATTACAGTAGATATTGCCAACACTATTTAAAAATATCCCGAGTTAGCAACGAAATGCCCGATAACCTTTCAATGATATTTTTATGTTATTAGAGACAGCCGATTGATAATAATGTACTAATGAATATGTATGCAATAGTAAAAAAAAAAGGAGTAAAATGCATAATTTATACCCCCTCCTTTATGTTTCGTTAGCACGCGATTCTTATGGCGATATCCCGAATTCTCTTCGATGTTTCATCACGTTGAAATTTTTTTTTCCGCAGTAATTAATCACTTGAATAAATCCGCTAATTGAACTTTTGATTATTACTCATTGCTATCAAGCTAAAATTATCAGCATCATATCTAAACCGTTCCGAATCGTTTTTCACCACGCATACCTATATGGCATGTACTTATTTCACAATGAAGCAAAGTTCAGGGCGCTATACTTTTTAGAAGGAGAATGCTTAGAAAACGCTTTAAGTAAGTACCTAATGATTACGTGGTAATTAGGTACGCTAAATAAAAATAAGTGCCAGGCCCCTAATAAATCAATTTCCAAAAAATTAATACCAAATTTTTAAACTTGATTACCACATCGGCGTATGATATTTCACTCTAATAAGATCGCATTTTAGTTTTTATTTCTTTGGCTCCATAAAAATGGCAGTGTCCAAATTGTTGAGTTCAGGTGGAAGATAACGCGGATGTAGGTATACTATCTAAGTATTTGAATTGTATTCCTTCCTTAACAAAAAATATCGCTCATAATAATTTGAAGTTTACAATATAATTTAGAACATTTCTAATGGCGCTACAACTGTATTATTGCATCGGTTATTCTGAACGAGGTATGGTCCTAATAATGCTCATTTACCATACTTTGTTTAAGGTAGGTATTAGGTAGATGATTTACACATTCACGAAGAACGAGGAAACTTATCCTCCCCGTTATCAGAACGCCAATAGGTACCATAATTTTTTATTCATTTTGCGGCAATTTTTTCCATATCATACACATTTTGTGCTCACACCATAACAGGATCTCCAAATTTTCACGAAAAAGGGTTCAAATTTTGCCTAGGAAGATCGATACAAGCCCTTCCAACTTTAGTAGTGGGACCATCAGCTAGTTAATCATAGTACACATTGCCGCGTGGAATTTATAGTAAGTAGCGGTCAGTAACGGAAAGAAGCATCAACGAAGTTGCCGAGAAATTTAATTCAGTGTGAACAACATCTGTAAAAACTTGTTCAATAACTGAAATAAAAGGAATTATCGGTGAACTGGCCACAAAAATCTCTTGCGGCTTGGACCAAATTCCTTGTGGTGATGTCTATCCAGTGGCGGTGTATATTTCTTAGGTACCCGATTTGCCTTCTAATTAATCAATCATTTACTTAGGTATGGTAAATTTCCTTCGCAACTTATCTGCGCTAAGGTTACCCTGTAGGTACCTACCTGTTTATAAAAACGGAGATCCTGGAAAGTTACAAAATGATCAGCCTATATATATCGATACTATATCCATATTTTCAAAAATATTTGAAAAGGCATTCCTGAACAGACTTAATAATTTTATAAATAAGCACGGTCTCACACTCAACCAATTTTTCGAAAGAAATTTGCCTTATGTGATGGTTCTGTCCGTCCATCTATTCCTCGTCTAATTCAAGAACGAAGAGAGACAGCGATGTCAAATCTTATTCGCCAATCGATTTCTACGAGTTCAAAAGGACCAGTAAGTAAAGTAGATCAGTACTATCATTGAATAGTGTTTTTATTCAATGGTACTATTAAATATGAGCCGTACTAAAAAAACGCGTTTCCCAATGCGAGCCGAGTAATAATCTCATAGAGCCATTAAAGTTTGAACAAACACTTTGGGCGGATTTTATTTCAAAAGTGAAGGAAAGATTATTGCAATTTACTCCCAATTGGAAGGACTTAAGGACATACGTATTGGATGGGTTATTATCACCAATAATCTGAAGTAGAGAACGATTTTTGTTACCAAATAGTTACTATTATCTTAGCTTTCAAATTTATGAAATACCTACATTTTTAAAATGAAAAAATAAGACTATAATATTTCTGTTTCTTACAGCCGCAATGGAACTTCTTTAATTCCCATTAGATACACATTGGGTTAATCATATAGACAGCGGTTTACATTTGATGGCCTACAACGTTTAGTGGACTCTGATCTACAGATCAACACACGCTAGATAGAACAATCTGCAATGGACACAGGTCAGATATACTTTAAAATAGTACCTAATAAGAAAGTGGGAGGCGATTTGCAACAGAAAATTGATAATACACGTTCTCTTGTTCTTTTGCATTTTTGCGTCAGCATGTAGATATTAAGTGCAGGGAAACTCCAGTAAAATAAACTGCGTACTTTACATGCCACGGTTTAATGTACAATTATTGTATTTGTTTGGATGTTTTAATTTAACACTGCACTGATTGTAGAGGTCACTTGCATAAATTGAACTGTTGCGTTACCAAAGGTTTTGTATAAGTGGCCCATGCTATATTTTTAGCGCATTTTTTCCAAAAAATACGCTATTATATTCGTTATGTCTGGCTGGATGGCTGGCCGGTTGAGATCTCAGCAATTACAATAGCTAGAGACTTCAAATGTTTACCTACTAAAAGGTTTCTGATGTAGTGTAGATGTGCAGGCTCTAGTCTATTTTGAGTTAGATTACTCATGAGATAGATAATTTTAAACTTCGCTAATAAAATACTGATCGGTATTACCAAAAATCCGCTTTCATCATGCATATGCTGATTTACAACTTGTTTGTTGTTCATATAAAAAATTTTCCTCTCGAAGCTATGACAAAAAAATGGATAATTTATCAAATGCCATGGCGAAAAATGAAAGGCAGCGATGTTTTTGGGATACCTACTTAACAAACCAAAATTTATGAAAAATTGAACATTTCAATAAAAACGGGACGGGTGGACAGAGACAATAGCTATAACAAATTTAATTATATGTACACGCTCTTTCTAACAATAACGAGTAGGTATCCGAATACATGTCAGTGAAGTTAGCCTCGCCCAATAAAAAAATCGAGAAACTAAAGAGTATTATCGATGGTTTTTTGTTAGTTATTGATTGTTTTGACAAAAAAAAGGTTTGTTTCGCAAAGCAATAGGTACCTATACTTTCCTTGATACTTCATATTCTAGGCCAGGCCTAGGACTGGCAGTAAACATATTACCTCGCCATTAATATTTTTTTACTTTTTTTAATCTTTTTGTGATTTTTAAGGTTTTGAACTTTTAATCCTTTTTATTATTTCTTTAAATTTATATTTTGTTTAATATTTAAATTTGGTAACGGCGCGGCGTCCAAATTTGTAATTGGAAGTTGTGCGCAAATTCCTGGTAAATATTCGATAAAAGTGGTCTGTTGCCGTACAAACAATTGTTTTCATTCCTTGTGCGGTGTCTTTGCACACTTTTTTGTTGTGCGTCGGCAAATTTTCAGCAATGTACGGCTTATAAATACCAAACAAAAAGTTAATTTAAACAAGCGGGGAGCAAAGTTATTATTTACTACTATGCGTCCTTTTGTCCAATTTACATGGTCCAAATATCATGCGTCCCAATATTAGCACTCTTTTGTTGTAGATTCGTACCGCAGAGGCACCTCACACCCACACAGACACACGGAGCTCTGATCACCTCCAGCGGTAGAAAATATAATTTTTTAATTCCGCCTAGCTCGACTCCAGAGGTCAATTCGCCTGTGGAGTATCATTGCACGAAGTGGCACCCACTCTGGAGGCGGACAATATACCTACGTATTACCGTTGAGTGAGAAATATAAAGTGGCGCAACTTGATTAATTTAGATGAGACTTATTCAGGCACCGACATATGGATACGCTTGTTAAAAGGCACCGAGATGTGTCAGTACCTCAGGAACTTCGTAAAAAGTAGTCGATTTCCACAGTTGTAGTAGTTATACCGTTGAGTGAATCACTCAACGGTTATACTGTTCATGTTATTTGAGCGACGTTTAAGCATCACAGTGAGATGGGTACCTAATATATGTATCGCAATTGCACTCTTTTCTATTTCTCACTCAACGGTACCTATTACGTAAACCTCTGCGTTACTGCACCTCCACGTGATGGCCGGCCGGCCGGACGTAAGAAAACAATGATCGGAAAGTGTTGGCAATTTGTGATAATTACCACAGTTTTATTTATGGGACTAACTACTTCTCTCCTTTAAACAGTTTAAATTTAAACGATAATACGCTGCAGTTACCTTTTAAGAAATTTCAAAATATCTTTTATCAGTCCGGCTTAAAATACCCAGTCTTCACCTTTATCTGACATTGATGCAAAGAAGCGCGATCAAAGTTCCCCTATCGCTCTTTAAATGCTTACTGTTTTTTGTATATTACAGTTTATCTTTATTAAGTAATTACCAAATACCAAATAAGAAAATGAAGTACTTTCGTGGCATGAGCAGTTCACGTGGGTAAATTAGTGATATGTCTCGATATATTCCCAATTCAATTTTTAGGATATGTTTTGTAATTGAATGAAGCCCGGAGACAGGTTTTTCGATTTCCCAAAACACAATAGGAAACTTAACTACCTACTAAATTTAGTAGGAATTTCAAGTGTGCCATGCTCATACTATTTTCCTTTGTTGTTTAACGAAGAAGTCGTATAGCAACCCGTTACCTAACGCATAGAAAACTTGCCTGGAGACTTTCGGTCTCCTAGGGCCGAATACAAGGCATTTTAATGCTTTAGAGACTGAATCATGGCCATATGGAATTATGAAATCAAGCAAAATCGCCTCCATTTGCCATTAGTTTGACGTTTATTACTTAGTATCAGTAAGAGCTTTGTGTGATCTGCCATTGCGCCACGGATTTTCTTAAAAGCGCCAGTTTTTAGTTATCCAATTTCTTGGTTTCAAAATTCAAAAAATTAAAAGCTATAGTATGCATGGATTCGTAATTTTTGCAAAAAACCTAAGTAGACTTTTTCTCTAAAATAATTAGGGAAGCCAAATAATCAGAAATCAAACAATTACTATTGAAATTTCTATTGAGCGTTGTTCCCGTACTAGTCGGGAGCTAGTAAACTTTTTTGTACCTATTTTCCCGGTCGGCGTATGGACATGGAATATTTGGTTAATGATTGTAAGCAACAAATCGTAGGGTGGGTTCGTCTACAAAAAACATTAGAAATTAAAAATACATATGGTACATCTTTTTGGACTAGTGGTTCATCGAAGAATAATGAATACATTGATAGAATATCACCGGAATTAACAAACTCTAGTAACATTCGAAGAATTATAATAAATATTTATTTAATACGTATCTCACTTACATTCAAGAATTTATGTGGGATTAGATCGTAGCACAGATTAAAATACTAGTATTTTGTCTGTGCCTATATACGTAAAGGATTATTGTGGGGGCAAGATTCTAGTTTTCGTGCTTCTGGAAAATTGCAAATCGTCGGATTTTTTAATTGATATCAAAACCTAAAGGCATAGAATTTAAACCATACTTCCATAATCCATATTAACTTTTTTGCCACAATCAATACCTGATATGTTGATAATGATACCTTCTTTTTAAAATTTAACTGCGTTCTAGACAAATATAGTGCTATCTAATCGCACATTTTTTGTGTGCTAAGTATTTGTCTGTCTGGGAAGAAACGTATGATGCAATTACAATTGCTGATAGATACTTTAGGGCAGGTAATTGTTTATGTTATCTTAAAAGAACGGAAATTTTTGGAGATAATAAAATAAATCACGTTCTTCGCACGTGGTTCGCTCGGAATGAAAAGCTGGACGAACTTGTGTATTGTCCTTTTTGAAAAGTTCGCAAAAGCATTTTTAGAAATTAAAAAAAAATACCTACTTTTTAATATTATAATGGGTAACGTTAGTAACGTATCGAAGGTGTTTGCACTACTGCCACATATCAATTACCTACGTGACTGCAGTCAGGGTTATACAAAGTGCAACATATCCCAGCCACGGAAAATTGCGACGGAGAAAACCTTCCTATTGGCATTCAAGTCATATGTCAACAGAGAGTGGTGACAGTGTGAAAATTGGTGCCTCTAAAGGCAAAGTACAAATTCATTAGATAAGCCTTAACCTTCCTTTTGATAAAATATAGGTACCTACACAATTTTGTTTATAAATGATAGTAGCTGGATTCTGAATAACCAATGAAAGCAACGTATTGCTTGGTTCAAATGGACAGATACCACACCTTTTCCAGTAACTTGTAGCGAATGCTCGTTCTATTGTCTCAAGTGTCATTATTTTGGCTAACAATAAGTATTTAATCTAATCAGTGGAATAAAAATGTATTATCTAAATAGATATGGGGGGTCATGAACTGTTGTCTCAAATTAATTCATTTTAATATTAGGTAGATAGTAACCGTTATTAGCAAGATGTGTTGTCTACCAAAATTAAAAATATGCAGATCTCCGAGTTAGCAATCTATTTGAGGAAGCTGAACTGATATAAGTTTGTTTCATTTCCCCTTTACGTAATTATAGTACTTATTCAATGGTATCATGATTCCATGCGTTTGGTCCGTTTTTTTAAGCATACCTACATAGCCCACATGTATAGAAAAATGAAGTAGTTTTTGGTTAAAAAGTTGACAAATCTTTTGACGTGTTTCGGTGTTTTTCCTTGAACCAGTGGTTTTCGATAAATCCGTGGTGGGAAGTTTTCAAATGAACACCTTGTATATGTATTTGAATGAATTAGATCTTAGCATGGCATTGAAATGCTTATGTACCTAACCCAACCTCTTTGAAACTAACTCCATCGGTCGATTTGTCCGATTAAAATGCGTTACTATAAATAATATAAATTTTCTAGAGAAATGAACAATATAAGCCGACAATCGCAGGTTAAATTACAATTACTTAGCGCAGGAGAAATCTTCTATCGTAGGATAAATTCTGTGTTCGATACAACGACTCATCCCCTATTTTGCTATACCTACCTCGTACCGATCGTGCCAGTCACCATAACCCAATATCGCTAGATACTAACTTAATACAAAAATATACGAAAACAAATTTCTGCGTTGCAATAAATCGCATGTAATTTTGTTATATCAATATTTCGGAAATTTGTAAGTATTTACGAAAGCAATAAGATAAGAATTCTGATTAGAAAGCCCATAGCCGTAGACGAAGCTTTTCCATTATATTATAG